TTTTTCAGTTGTACGGTTTAATGGTTTCCACCCTCGATTGCTAGGTGGATAAAGCCTCAATGCTCGATGAAGCTATTGAATACTTGAAGACACTTCAAGTTCAAGTACAGGTTAGATGAAGTTTCTCTTGTGTTTATGCATTATTTTTTTCCTTTATCTAGTCTCTTGGAATTATCTGTCCTTCCATTTCCTTACTTCTTCATCATGCTAGTGCGAGGGGGATGGTTTGGGGATTCTCTGCAGTGAAAAGAAAATGCATCAATTTCTCTAGTACTATCTATGTAGTCATAAATTTCAGCAACACAGAGTTTTTGTTTTGGAAGAGGTACAATATGGCAAAAGCTGTCTTCATGTTCAAATTCACGTTTTAAGACTTGCAATAGCCAATAAGCAGTATGATGTGTGATGATTATTGTGCTACTACAGTTCACTCCCTTAACCTTATACTTATTTGCATTCATTTTTTTTGCCGAGCCCAACTTGTTCGGGACGGAGGCTTAGTAGTAGTTGTTATCGTTTTGTAATCTCCAAGTATTGCTAGTCACCCTGCTTCACCTTGATGCTACTTTGGTTACACCTTTATAAATAGAAAACATGAGTGAATTTCTTTTTCCGTCTGTTATGTCGTAACTATAGTTGATTGCTTTCATGTTCTGATTTATTTCAGATGATGTCTATGGGAGCTGGGTTGTGTGCGCCACCAATGATGTTTCCTGCAGGAATTCAATACATGCATGCCGCCAATGTGCCACAATTTTCTCCGATGGGTTTAGGGATGGGAATGGGTTTTGGGATGGGTAAACTTGAGATGAATGGTGGATCCCCTGGCTGCTCTATTTATCCAATACCCACTATGCAAGGAGCACATCTTCACTCCCCACCAGTTTCTGGCTCCGCTACTTTTCCAGGAGTAGCTGGATGTAACCTTCACTCTTTTAGGCATCCTGGTCAAGGACTTCCAGTGTCGGTACCACCTGCATCTTTGGTTCCTTTGGCAGGGCAACCATCGACAAATGCAGCTGTGGGTTTAAATATCACAACTGCAGGAGTTCATACAGACGTACGGAATACTTCAACTTTAGACCCCGAAACCAAGGACGCACTAAGAACTCACATATAATGAATAATGCTGATCCGAGCTGCTAAATCAATCAGATTTCAAATCAGGTGTGTGTTTTCGCCGAGAACTCATTGCGTTCGATCTTTTACAGTCAATTAGAAAGTTCCATCTACATTGAATGTTGCTATAGTTTACGTATTGAGCTGGGAGACAGATCCCTTATAAGCTTATTCAATAAGACAGTTTCCATAAAAGTAGATTTCAGAGCAGTATGTGTCGATTTCATGTTTTTAATTACCATGAGATAAAATGCATCATGTGGTTGAGCAAAGCACACAATAAGAAACTAAATAGTGTTGGTGTGTGAAACAGAAATTGAAACCCTTTAGATTTTCGGAGAAAAAACAGAGAAGAACTCTAGTGATGTAAAATTGTTTCCGTGAACTTAAAAGTGAGTGGCCACAAACTATAGTCTCCTCAAGTGTAGGTATGATTTTGAATCTATGGACACGGACACATATGACTGTCTAGATTGAGGTTTGTGTTCATAGACAGCTAGTGGACGTGTAGGATTCACTATCATTGGCATAATTTTGAGCATAATTTTCTTGTACTTCTTTGTGTTTGAATGAAAGTAAACTAACCGATGTTAGAATTAACTGAGGCAATATGTAATGCAACTTAAAGCTGTCTTTTCTTTCGTATGATTTTGCATGAGAAAGCTTGTTGTCTAACACGAAACAGAGAAGTATTAAGGGGGACAATTATGTGTTCTTTTGTATGGAGTTAAATAGACCGGTTTGAAGTTATTCGGAGCAAAATGTGGAAAGTTCTTTTTGATAATTATTGTATAAAATGAACTAATAATTGCTAAAATTTTAAGGAGATATAAATGCTGCAGTTTTTTTTTATGCACATTCAGTCCTAGGCTTTGCAACTTCTGATTTGAAAAAGATATCAACTAGTCTGCTAATAACTTCATGACCTTGTTACCTTTGAAGAATCAATGATAAAATTGATTGATTTTGATAGCTGAGATTATCATCTTCTTGTCTTTTCGTTGTCCTTCCCCCTTCTCACAAATCAGTGATAAGGAAGCTTGCAAGAGAGAGTAATGATGTACCAAAAAAACATGCTATCATCCTTTAGTTTTGCTCTATTGAACTCTATATTGGCTAGCAATCTATTGTAAATTACCAAGCAATTTTATTCTTTTATTTTTGAATCTTTGCCAACAAGAGAAGGTGAGCTTTGTATTGTGGCTACTCTTCATATATAATTCCAGCTGAAAACCTTTAAGTACTGGATGTGGACTCCCTTTTCAGTTCTTCAAACAGAATACCTCTTAAAAACTTTGATTGAAGTTCACATTCCCTAAGCTGCTACAACATTTTTGTTACTTGATAAGGGACCATTAATTTTCACATAGCTTTCTTCTGAGGTGTTAGCTTGTTCAATCTTCCCATTTAAGGAAAGTAGTTGATCAACCTAGGCCACTGGCCGGAGAGGATGCTCAATTTCACCCGCAAGTCACAAGCACACACTGGTATCAGATTGATTGCAGTTACCATTTGAGTTGGCAAATTTTGAATTTCTTTTGGCATGCAATAGGAGAGTTTCTTTTCCTTGAGAATGTAGCATCATTTCCTTCCCCAATGAAGAGCCAGTTTTCTAGGATTGTCTGAAGCTCCTTGTTTATCATCGGTCTACTGTAAATTCACCCTAGATGTTATATTTGCTTGCAGTCGTCCAGAACAAATGTTTGTAGCCTTGTGTATCTTTGGTTTTAATTCGCGGAAGACACAGTTTTCCCTGGTGCACTTAAATTTACATCAATTGTGGACGTGCTTAAAAAGTTTTCCTTCCCATGAATGTCAGGTACAAGCAACGAATGAGTATCTTGGTAAATCAGCTTTGGTGCGGAAGAATGACCAGCTCCTAATAACTTGACCAGCCCAACAGATGTGCTTTGAAGTAAACGTGGTGATTTTGTATAAGGACCAGGGTCACTACTGGTGATTTACCGACTCCAATGTGGTGAGAAAGAACTTCATTAGTTATGCTAAGCCGTTAAAATGAAGTTATATCTTATAATATTGCTTCCATGGTCATCCCTATGTGTGCAAAGTATATGTAACCAGGAGAATGGCATGAAGTGCTTCTCTTAGCAATCCTATTATTTATACAGGTTCCAATTAGTGCCTGCAACTTAATGTTGATTGTGGATTCACTTTCATATTGCGGGCAAGGAAGGAAGCTCTTTTTACTTCCAACCAAAGCGAACTTCTGACTGTTCTTACTGGAAGGTAGTATTAGGAGTTCCAGAATGAAAGCTAATTTCTGTATCCACAGTGGGGATATAGCACCACAGTACACTGCGAACTGCAGGGACTCTGATATTTTAGAGAGAAACCGATACTTTATCCTTCAAATGTACATTCGAGATAACTCGAGAGCAGTTGGTCCCAGCACTTCCCTCTCCCAAGGTTGAAGTTCCTGGCCTTTCAAGTGTATTCATGTGTATTAGACATATAAACTGATTTTTCTAACATAATAAAAACACGAGCAGGTTCCTATAAACTTCTGCTTACCTGTGTTGCTTTCATTTACTAATGTTTCAGTCTTTCAGCTGATAAATTATCCTTTTTGCTGTTGTTTTCCACTAAAAAATTTTCTGAACCCTTCTCCCATTTTTAGGGAATATTAGACCTACCTTATCTTCCAGACGTTCCCTTGGTGCTATATGAGTGAGTCTGTATTAATGAGGAAAGGGGATTAATTAGCACCATCGTTTGCTTTACAGCTTGTTTGGATGGTTGTTACGCATCATTTCATAATGTATGGTGTTTGCCATCGTTTCATGATATCACGCATCAGTATTATGAAGAATAAACTTGCAATATTATAAAGAAAAATTATGATACAAGGTAAAATTACTATGTAAAAAGATAGGGTAAATGGTAAAATGAAATAATTTAATAATAATAAAGGGTGAGATTGAGAGAAAAAGACAAGGTAACGACGCGATCACATCAAATCGGTCGTTACATAAAGTGGCACATCTCGTCGTTATGTAACAACGGATTTAACGATACGATACAATAAAATTTAAGTAACAATCAAAACAAACATTGTACTTAAAGTAACAATACGATACAATGCGTAACAACCATCCAAACAAGCTGTTAGAGATCGACCCATAATTTAAGTAAATGGTTGGAGTCGTGCGAGTATCAGTGAGTCTGTATCACTGTACCTACTGAAACTTGCCAATATATATACTTTTGAAAGAATTGTTCAACAATATATATAGAGTTTAAGTTACACTTTTTGGCTGCTACAGGACCGAAGAAAATCACATGTCATGCGGAAGCTAGTAAAGTAAATCCTCAACGACGATAAATTAGATAACAAAAGAGAAATCTACAAAAAGAGACACAAAAATATAACGTGGTTCGGTCAACTGACCTAATATTGAGAGAACAACCTCACGAATAGGCAAACACAAGTGATACACTAACACTTGTCCCGTAAAGTTCTCACGAAGAGGCAAACACAAGTGATACACTAACACTTGTCCCGTAAAGTTCTCCCCCTAAACACAACTCTCAAATCCCATATGGCTACATTGTGAATGCTACTGAATGAGAAGGACGAATCTCCAATTTATAGAACTCCAAAGTTTTTCTACAAGAAAAGGGACTACCAAATATGGAAGAATTATATTTTCCTTCTAGGAAAAGAAAAACCCAATTATGGTAAATATGTTGTACTTTCCTTCCTGAGATAGGAAAACCAATTATGGTAAGAAAATCTGGACAAACACCTAACACACTCAATCTCATATTATCATCTATATAGTATGTTGTATTTATGGGATCCAAAACAACATCAAAACATCAAGATGCCCACAAAACCATAAAACAATAATAATGATTAATGACAAATAATAATAAAACTAATATTCATAAATGTGACAGTTCTTTATGTACATCACCATCCAATTAATTGAATAAGTTCTTCCACGATTAGACAAATCGAATGCAGAGATCAAATAAGAAGAAATCAAGAAAACCACCCTTTCTAGTTTGGAAGATTAAAAAAAGCACAACTATGGTATACCTAGGATAATAACTAAAACTTGCAGCAAACAGAAGTGGAAGTAGAAATATAGCAGGACCCCTGATGACAGAAAACAAGAATGAAAAATCACACAACAAATAAAGTTATGATGCTGTCTGTTTTTTCTTGGTTTCACTGCTGCTGATGTCTTTTATTTGGCTGTAACTTCATTTTTTGTTTCAGATTTGGAGCTTGGAGACTTTCCTATGATTGCTTTCTTAGCCTTCACAAGAGACTGCTTCATCTTGGAAATAAGGTTGTTTGATTGCTTTGTCTTGGGTGGAACTTCTTCTTTAAAAGCTTCTTCCAAAGTTTTCCTTTCTTCACCATCCTTAGCAGCATCTGTTTTTACCTTTTGCTCCAACTTTGGTTCAACTTCTCCAGCAGTTTCTTCTTCTACTTTTGTTTCTGTCTCAGGCTTCTGAGACTCTTCAACTGATTTTTCAGTAACAGTAGCAGTGGTCTCATTCACTTTCTTCTCAACTTCAGTAGCTTCATGGACTTCTGTGGTAAGATTTATCTCATCCTTCTTGTTTCGATTCTCAGAAATTAGTTCAATGCCTCTAGGAGCAATCTCAACTTCTGGGGCTTTTTCAGGAAGTTCACATGTTTCAACTTCCTTTGCTTCAGTTACAACACTTTTCTTCTCATCTTCTTGATTAGTTTTCACATCTTTTGTATCATTAATCTCTTCAACCTTTCCCACCTCCTCCTTCAATAGTACATCAGTTATAGCCTCTGTATTTTCAGGCTTAGTCTCAGCAGGTTCTTGCTCAATCTTCTCACTAACTTCTGGTTGTTCAGCCAGTTTGTCCTCTACATTAGCAACAATTCTTTCCTTATTTTGTTCTGCTTCTGAAACTTCTTCTTCTTCTTCTTCTTTTGCCACAGCTTTCTGTGGTTCATTGGCCTGTAATTCTTCTATCGTTGGTTTGTCCTGCAGCTCTTTCTCAGATTCTTTCTGTGGAATTTCAACCTTTTCAGATTCTAATTCACCTTTGACAACATCAACTGCTTCTTCTGGAACACTATCAGCTTCAGGTTCAGGGGCGGATTCCTTGTTTAATACTACAACTTCTTCTCTTGTAACATCCGAAGCCGGAGTCTCAACATGCTTGTTAACTTCTTCAGTAGCAGTGATTGCTGGTGCTTGTTGTTCAGTTTTAGGCGTCTCGACCTCATCAGTTTTCTTTACCTCCTCTATTGTTGGCTTCTCATCCTCATCAGCTTTCTTTTTTATTTCTTCGATAACAGTTTGTGCTGGTTCTTCTACTTTCGAGTTCTCTTCCTCATCACTCTTCTTCTTTATCTCTTCAATTGCTGGAGTTACACTCTCTATATTTATGTTTTCTACTGATTCAGCAGAAGACAACACTTGACTTGGAGAGTCCTCTTTAGGTTTCACTTCATTGTCCTTCGGAGAGTCCATTGTCTTAACCTCTTCATGCACTTCCTTCTCAACTTGCTGTAGTAAACATGAGAGCAAGAATTAAACAGAACAAAGAGAAGTACCAACCAAGAAAAGTAGCAATCTTTTAAAAAGTTGAATCAACAGACTACAAGAGAAAAAGAAGGTAAAAAGATGAGAAAGTTCAAGCACACAAGGCTTTCACTTTAAAAGTGTGGCAGCTTGTTCTTTTGTGCCTTGGTAGTGTGGAACAAGATTTGATAAAACATAAAGCTATCGGAAAAGGAAAAGAGCAATTTAAAGGGATAGGCTATTTCCTAGTAAGCTATAACTAAGATTGTCACTCAGAGAAAGCACAGTAGGAAAAGATGCTCCATCCTCTTATTTGAACTCCCATATTTTTAGTGTGCACCTAGGTCATAAACGACAAAGCAAATCAAGTCTACACCTCGACTATTCTAACTCGTACCTATTTTCTTCTACCAACACAGGTATCGATCAAGTAACTATGTTTGCTGGGATGTAAACCCAGATACTACCATAATTTTTACTCACTTCATTTCCGCTAGGCGAAACCCATGGTGCCATCTCGTTAAAACTCTTTAGACTTCATTTTTCTTTTAATTCTGTTACGATACAGATGGCAATTTCATTATTTTCACAAAAGAATTCACTTTTCTGCTTGAGGATGCTTAGTACTCCCTCTGGAAAATAATTTTTTCTTTTTTACCATGATACCCATATTAATTGATGCATATTTTATTGGATTTGAGAAAATGATTTAAGATAAGCAATAAATACTGTAGGTATAACAAAAAATTTTTTTTGTCTGATATCGTAAAGTGACAGGTAAAAATCAAAATTTATTTTTAATATGCATGTCAACTATGGAGTGAAATGGAGGAAGTATAAGTTATATCCTTCCCAAGTAAGAATTCTTATTTTTCTTTGACACATTAGCTTCTGCTAATTAATATGTCACTGGTGAAAAAGTAAAAACAAGTACTCCGCGGTGCCCTAACAGTCCCCTCTCTGTTCCTTTATTTCATTTCCTATGACTAGCTTTTATGATGTCTACAGTTTGATTCTCTCTAATACAACTAAACACAGAGGACTAAATAGGAAAAAGGGAATAACATCAGAAGTTTCACAGAGCTTTAAACATATGCAATTATCAAATAACAAGACAAAGAAGAAAAACAAATATTCATCTGGAAAATTTAATAGAAGGAAGAGGGATTCACTGAATACCTCAAGGGAAGTAGGATGATCTGATGATACAGTCTCAGTAGCCATGGATGAAGATGATTGATCAAGCAAGAACTCAAAGGAAGAAGCAATTATTATGATACTTGTAAGTTAAGCTAAATAAACAGATTCAAAGAAGTAAAGAAAAAGGGTGGACAAGTAAGTAAAGGAATGATATGGTTGGCAACAACTCAAAAAGGGTCTCAAAACAAGCTGGAGAAAGTAAACCACACTCACAAAAATCTACCTTACAGCAACCCCATCTCACCTTTTCATGCATACAGAAAATAAAGAAAACAGGGTGGACTCATCAGCATTTGATGGATGATCTGTCAGCATTTGGTGGAATTACTAACTAATCCATCAAGATTCAATTTTTAAATACTATATATGGAAAGAGATTTTAACACTTGGAAAAGCCATTAGGCCCATTAAATCTGAATAAGATTATGAGAATATGAAAATGAAGTTAGTGTTGTCAAGTTAGGGACTGTCAATGCCACTGAGACAAAAATGATTGATGAGGACCATTCAAGAGGTTTATAACGGCGTAATATCATTTTTGCAAACTGTTGTCTACTTTGTCCGGTTGTGGATAGTTTCCCTACTGAAACATAAAGAATATATTTTCCAGGCCTAAGGTCGTTTTCAGTGCCATGCCATCTTCCATAAAAGAAGAAGAACAATTGCATTGGCGGTGACTATGTCTAGTTGCATTTTTTCGACAATCAACTGTGGCATAACAAGCCGCCAACCAGTCCATGTCCATAATAGCATCAAAATTCAACATCTCTAGCTCAACTAGGTCGGCTGAGGTCTAACGACCACAAACTGTCACAAACTGTCACTGTACAACCTTGGTAAACCCGTCTAGTAATAATTGATTCTCCGACCAGGATACCGCAAAAGGATCACTTAATATTTCAGGCACTATGCCCATCTTCCCCGCGACAAAGGGGTAATACACGACAAAGTAGATCATGGGTCTATCAAGGCATAAGCATCGTGAGTGCAAATGGTCAACATACCTGTCACATGGTCTGGTGAAGACTCTTGGTCATGTCGACCCGCTAAAGCATAACTACGATTCCGGTTACCACCTGAACTGGAACCTCTACTTCTGTCTCTACCTCTACCACCCGAAGACTGAGACTCGCGCCCTGAAGGATGCACAGACATAGATGATCCTGTTGCTGAATTCACTGGTTGTGCCATACCCCCAGAATTTCTATTTGGGCAATCTCGCATCATATGCCCCGGATGTCCACATTTATAACAGGCATTGGAACCAGCTCGGCATTGGCCCAAGTGTCCTCTACCACATATGTTACACCACGGAAGAAATGACCGTGTCTGCACTAAACCTCACTGTCGCTGCAAACCCGATGCCCATGAGCTCTTACCTGGTCTTGACTGAGTATATCGGCCATGCCTGTAACCCTCTAACTGAGGTGGTAGAGGCCTAGGTGGCCGTTCGAAGTACTGGGGCCTATAACTACCCTGAGACTGCTCCTGAGACCTGGAAAATCTCATCCTCTTATGCTGCCCGAATTTAGTCCTCTCAGTACCCTGCTGCCGATGCCTACCTCTTTCTATATTCTAGGTGAATGCCTGAATCTGGGAAATATCCATACTATCCTGCAATGCAGCGGCGGTACATGCCTTGGTCAACTCTGGGGCCAATCCTACTATAAACCTGTAGATCCTGTCCCGCATAGTAGCAACTATGGATGGAACATATCTAGCCAATGAGTCAAAATGGAGACTATACTCTCGAACACTCATATTGCCCTGCTTGAGGGCTAGAAACTGATCGACTCGAGCCTGTCGGATCTTCCGCAGTAAGTACTGGTCAAGGAAGGCATCTGAAAAATTCTTCCAAATAGCTGGAGGTGCATCACGTCCCCTGGACCTCTCTCATCCCTCGTACCAAAGGATGGCTATATCTCGAAGTTGAAAAGATGCTAACTCAACTGCCTATTTCTCCGTGGCATGCATAACTCGAAAGATCCTATGAAGCTGATTTATGAAAGTTGCGGGTCCTCCCTCTGATCTGTCCCCGTGAACTCTGGGGGACTCAAAGCAATAAAATCTCGGACCCTTGAAATCCCAAACCCCTTAGAAGATCCTGCACTAGCGGATGCCCTGGCCTGTTGCTGGGTAGATACCAATTGTGTCAACAAATGCACTGCACTTCTCAAGTCCTGATCTAATGGAAGCGGAGGGGAAAGTGGATGTACGGGCTCCCTAGGAATCTCCTCAGGTGGTGGAGGCGCCTGTAATGGCTGAGTAGGGGTCTCTCCCTCGGCCTCAGATTGGGCCCCATCTACTGGGGGTACCTTGCTAGTCCCCTCACCTACTGATGTATCTCTCATTTGGCTAGCCGTAGTCTTCCTAGTCACCGTCATCTGTGCTTGCAAACGCCAACACGTAAGTTTAACTAAAATTTCCTATAACTCAGTTCTACAACACGATTTAGATTTGAAAGAAGGATAACCAACTCCTAAATGCCCTGTAGTCCCCAGCTTATATAATGTGGTGCACAACACATCTATAAACAAGACCCTACTAGACACGGCTTGTAGACTCCCTGGACAGAAATGCTCTGATACCACTTCTGTCATGCCCCGAACCTGGGGGAAGGGGGGTGCAAGATCGGAGCCCGGTGCCTCACCTATCCTTGCGTACCAACTTGCGACTAAGGGACTCTGAACATATAATGTCATACTTTGGCCATGGGGCCACATTGTAAGACAATTTGCGAAGTAAAATATAAAACTAAACGTAAACTAACGCTGACTTAACATCAATATAAAGCTGGGCCAACAACGCCATCATATCTACTACAGCTGACAAACCAACAAAATATACATACTAGGCCTACAAGCCCAACATACTTCACTAAATAACAAGATATGTCTACAAACCTTTACTGATGGATGTACTATGATCGGAATAGGGCCCCGACCTACACATAACCTATATACATATATACATAAAATGTACAAAACTCTAGACCCGGCAACTCTGAAGGACATGAAGCTTACCGATAAAGCTAAACTCGGGAAACACCTACTGAGGAGGTCTACCCGTCTGTCTATCTGAACCTGTACGCATGAAATGCAGTGTCCCCAGGAAAAGGGACGTTATTACAAAATAATGTACTGAGTATGCAAGGCAATAAAATAACTGAAAGCTGAAACTGAACTGATAGTATAATAACTAAAAGTAACTGGGAGTCAAAGATGATCTGGAGATATACTTACCCGCTGATACTGACTCAACTCTCTTAATATAGTAAATCAAATAACTTTCCGGCCATATAAGGCTCGGTATATATAACTGCTCTACAATAGTAGGCTCACTCATAGGCACTGGACCATACTAGGCGTTGTATCTCGGACAACTGGGCTCGCTAATATAGGCGTTCGACCATAATAGGCTCGGTATATAACTTACCATCTGATCAAAGGTTGCCCAGTAGGGGCCTGCCCACCAATTATAGCTCAATGGTGGTGAAAATACTAACTCTGTGTGTGTGTGTGTGTGTGTGTGTGTGTGTGTGTATATACCCTCTGCTCTCTTGACTAGAAGAAAACAATACTCAATTGAATATAAAGTCCCGATAAGAGAGAATAGTGTAACTTATGAGACTAGGATAATGTATATAAATTCGGGAGTATGAACTTCTCTTTATGTCTTGTTATCAAACACATGTAGTTACGGGATCATGCCAAAATGAAGATAAGGTTTAGCCTTAACATACCTAGAGTAGGAAAAAATCCGTATGATATTCTTGAGAAGGATTGCATCGTACTCCCTTAGAATTGCAAAATCTCGTTGTTATTACGCAGTGCAATTTCGTATGAATTCCTTACTAATCAAAGAACTCCCGTTTCTATTGTAATATGGAGTCTCATATGAATTTCCAAATCTCCTCCAAATGAATTTTGATATCCATTCAAGACAAAATGTAGGGATGACTAATACAAACTCCCCTTTCTACGTGTTTGCAAGGGATGGCTAAGTGTAGTATCTGTGTGCCCTCTTAATTTGATTACCTAAATTTAAGAGTCACTTATTAAATCTTCCTCCACTTTCTGCCATGTGGGGGGCTTTGTCCTACCTAAAAATATCGACAAATCCTTAATTACATGGTTAATCTCCCATTAAACCAATAATTAACCAATTACCTACATAATTAAGAATTATCTTAAATTAATTAAAATACTAATCATTTTTAATATACTATATACATCATACTATCATGGTCATATGGTACCTTGTATGGCAATAGTCCATAAATACCGGATATTATAGCTCAGATCGTATTTTATCCTAAATCGACAACCTTCAATAAAACTCATTTTCTTTGATTCGTTCACCCTTTATATTTCACCGTAGTGATATATTGGATCGGCCTGCCCCCGTAGTGATATATTGGATCGGGCTGCGCGCCGCAACGATATAACACTTGGGCTGTAGGAGCCCCTCCGGAATCTGTACACCCCCAGTGAGCGTAGTCGGCTATATATATATATTACGGATTGGGCTGCACGCCACAGAGATATTTATTATGATATATCTATTAAGCGGGAGTGCTGAGTGTGAGTACTGATTGATGAGAGTTGAGTCACGAGTGACTGAGAGGCTTGCCCGAGGGGCTATACTTATGAGTAATACTTTGCCCGAGGGGCTTGTTTATCAAATTTTCTATTTTCACTCTTTTTTATACTGAGCCTCTACTGAAAAATGTTGAATAAATGTTTTAAAGGATTTTCATTTAAACTGGAGTTTTTACGAGATAATTGGTTATTGAACTGCAGATTTTGACTTTGACATTTCTCTTGAGATTCTTGATAAAGTATGCATATGGTTTTTAAATGCTTTTCACTGTTCTTAAACTTTATTTACTTTGGTTACTTACTGAGTTGGGGTACTCACATTCTCCCTGCACCTTGTGTGCAGATCCAGGTGCTCGAGCATCAGAGTGAGAGCTTTCAGCAGCTTCTGTGTATTTCCGGAGTTAGCAAGGTAGCTGCGCGGCGTTCGCAGCCCTACCTTTCTCCTTCCTATCATAGTACTTTATATTTCAGGCTTATTTTGTATTAAGCAGATAGTGTTGAGTTGTACTTAGTGGCTCATGACTAGTGACACGAGATTTAGGTTGTGTTGATGTATTTACGTATTTGTTTCCGCGTATTTCTTTTGATATCTTAAAAATGAAAGATTTGAGACTTAATTTGTTTAGAAAAATGATTTTTTCAAAAGATCTTCATATTGTTCGTATTGTTTTGGCTGGCCTAGTAGTGTGATAGGTGCCATCACGACCAGGGTGTTTGGGGTCGTGACAAGTTGGTATCAGAGCCTAGGTTACATAGGTCTCACAGGTCATGAACTGGTTTAGTAGAGTCTCGCAGATCGGTACAGAGATGTTTGTACTTATCCTCGGGAGGCTGCAGAACCTTTAGGAAAAACTTCACATTC